AACCAACCTTCAGACCAGTCATCAGTGCCAGATTATTTGGAGCCTTTGGTGAGACTCATTCGAACAATCCTTTGTACCGACTACCTGATCCTGATTGGTTCTCTCTCTCGACTCTGAGTCTGCCTGCCCGGGTTCTGATCTGTGGACACTAACCTCCTATCTCCACCCACAGAGGTTCCTGTCTTAGATGCCATTGTCGCTTATGTCCTACTCTGTTGTCAATAGACGTTTTGAGAAATCTAACTATTTGTTCGCCTTGAATACTGGATCCTTCAGTTCTGAGCCTAACACTTGTAAGATCTCATACAAATAAAAAAAAAGCCAACCTTTTTGCACATATTTGCTATGGGGAAATATATAAATTTTAATCAATAAATGTTTTAACAAAATAAGCTGGTGCACAATTATTGGCATTGAAATAAAAAAAGGATTACTTAATTTGTTTTTTAACATTTCTTCTTCTAAATTATCAGAGTTCTTTGGAATAATCTATTGCTTTTCATGTACTTTGGAAATGAAAATTATGTAGCAGAAAGATGGAAAGTAAACTAAAAAATATCTCCAAAGTTCAGAAAATCTACAAAGAGTGGTGTATTAGGCTCACCAAGTCTCAATTTCAAGAATTAGATGCTATCATATCTACTTTCTGTCACAAATGATATGGAGCTTACTAAACTCTACTCTGTTTGTGCTCTGGAGTCAGATTTTCTGAGATCCCAAAGAGAAATACCAAAATAGCAACTTCTGAGCACTGAGCATCACCAGGATCGGTATCCACTACTGCTTCCATGCCATATAAATAAAATATGTTGATGCATTCTATAACAAGTTTCTACCTTAGTGGGTTCTTTTATATTAAATTGGAAAAACAAATGGTGCTAAAAACCAAGAATTTGTCATCTTGAATTGCTGATAGCAACACACAAAATGCACATTAATCTAAAATAGCTCCACAGTGTTTTATAGATAAAATAAATATAGAAATACACAATAAGCAAAAGAAAACATCCACATGCATGGTTAGGTTTTTCAAAAACTAAAACAGCAAGGTTACTTTCTATGCAAATGAGGTAAAGGTTAAAATGTATAAGGAAAGAGACGCACCAATATTTTTTGGATGCTGATACCATATACTTACTACACACAAATTAATGTACTGGATGTACCTTCAAGTCTTCTGGTAAGAGCATTTAAATGCACCCCAACAAAATGTGAAACGAGGCAATGAGACACAGGATGCTATTTGTTTTAAATTTCTATTAACCTGAGAAGCTTCAGAGCTTGATTGAAGAGGTTCTGGATCAGCCTGATCAGCATGATGCTTTGTTTATGCCCATAGTTAACCTCTATTACTAGGCTGACCTCAGCTCAGATATAGCAACTCTGTCTCCTCTTTTATATAGTGGAGCAAAGTGAGAAAAGCAAACACACACACATACCCTCCTCGATCTGTAGCAAGGCAGGGTCAGAGTAAAGGCTGGTGTTTATGGCACTAAATTCAGGATCATTTAAACTTAATGACCTCCTTTATCCTCCTGGCCTATGGAAGAAGAAAAAAAATAGTAAAACATTAGTGTCTGGATCTTAAACATAGTTTGGCCTTTTATACTTGCTGTCTAGGCAATGGTGGTTTTAACAGGATGTGATAAAATGTGGGTAATCGCACGCCCACTTGAGGGGATGTGGTGCGGGTTTATTAAAAGAAATGAGTCTGTGGTGAGGAGGAGCTAATTTGATTCTGTCCGGATGCTGGAGCTGTAAAGAGAAGATGGCCCACTGTTGCAATAAGGTAAATGCTATATAATAATGCAAAACCAAAACAAATAGTACTTTTATAGAGGCAACAAGACTGCTACTGCATTTGCTGTGATTTTATGAAAAAAGTAACAAGAAATCCACAGTACTGTTAAGAAGAACAGGCTTCCTTATAATTTTTACATCCTTTCCTCTTTGTTAACACCCAATCCCTCTTTATATTATGCTACTTTTTTAATAAAACCTTTATATAAATTTTCATTAGCTACCAATATCACCAGGACTTTTAAAAGACAGAGGAGCATATGTTGCATTTTAATTAACCCAACCTGAACAAATAAAGAAAAATCTATTCTTATACTTAAGAACCAAGGCCACAAAACAAGGTTTAAAAGTTTAAACAGGCATTAAAAAGCCAAACAAACAACAGTGTTTTCCTTCTATTTTCCCTCCTTGCTTTTCATAAAGCCTCCTCTTCCATAGTATTTCTTCCTTTTTCAAACCATTTAAAAACTAGTGGACTTAGTCAGATAATAACCTTTTTCTCTTAGAACCTAACAGGAGAATCTGACCACTTGTGTGGTGTCTGCCTGAATGTAGCTTTCCTGGTTGTAAGTAAAATTCAACTTCTTTAGGAAAACATTAATCCACTGTATCAGCTTATATATACATTTGACAATGTAACTACAAAATTTATTAACTGTAAATAAAACACATTAGGAATATGTTTTAGATTTTTTTGTGTACATTATCACAGAATCTGGTATAACCTTAATAAGTGATTTATTTTAACTATTGATTTTAATAGCTATTAAACACAGTGAGGTTTTCCCAAGAGGCACACATTGTATTTTAATGCAGAGGCTATGTATCTAAAAATGCACAAAAAAATCAGCTAGTACTCAAAGTCAATTTCAACTTTTGTGAAATTAAAGAAATAAAGACATTTTTCCCCAATCAGTTAACACCACAAACCTACAAGCTATCAGGCTGCCCTTACAGCAACACTCTCTGTGATAGAGGTTGTTACGGCTGGAAGAAGGTGAGATACTTAAAAAAACGAAGTGGAAGAACAAAATTGTAGGAAATATTAACTATCTAAGATTTTGAAAACATGTCAGAAATTTTGGGGAAAACTGAACTTATGTTGATTTCAGATTATATTATGGTTTTGATCTACATTTTACCGGGTATATAAATGTTAGGATAAAAGAGAGATGTTTAACATGATTGCAAAATATGTCAAGTTTTGGAGCAAGCACATAGCACAGAGGTAGGTACTGTAGGTGTTTCATATCAAGAGGATTTTAGTCCTTGACATACATGCCCTGGGTTTGGCTTTTGATTTTGGGATCTTCACTATATGTTTCTTCACCTCTTCTTGCCTATTTTCCACTTGAATAACATAAAAAGAGGTCATTAGTCCCGCAAAATCTTTAACCCCTTTACTGTTATGAGGACGTCATTATGCTCATCTCTATCTTCCATAACTAACTCAGTATTGGTTAAGCATACCTGATCAGCCCTTAGCAGATAGTCAATCCGTTCAGAAGGCTACTGTACTTTGTTTCTCTGTGTAGCTGTCATAGCTGCAGCATGAAGGAAGTTAGGAATTTCATCCTTTATTCTATTTTAAAACTAGAACAAAATCCACTTGTATGGGTATCGGTTGTCACTTTAGATTTAGTTTCTTTAGGCTTGTTCCTCTTGATTGCTCAGCTGTTGGAAGTCAATAAAAACAAATTTACTGATTGAAGGAATAATCAATCTTTAACTCAGAGAGATAATCAATCCTCCAGCAGCCCCACCAGGAATAGGGAAAATAGATTTACTTTCTTCAAAACTGAAGGCAAAGATAAATCCATATATTTATTTTAAAAAATTACTCTCTCACCCAATCCTTGTACTCCTGGGTGAGTTGGGCGGTCCCTTCTTGTCAAGCTCAGGTCCTCTACCAGAGGCCTGGGAGCTTTAGGTTCTTCACAGTACTTAAGCTGTCCCTAGAACTGCGCATTTCTGGACTGAGATCTATGATCTTTGTCCAGTTATCTGTTGGAGCCAGTTTTCCAGTGTGGGCGTTAGTATCCCAAGTGCCTCAATGACCACAGGCACTACTGTTACCTTCATCTTCCAGGCTCTCTCTATTTCTACCACGAGGCCTTGGTATTTTTTGAATTTCTCATTTTATTTTTATTTAATGTTTTAATCATTTGGGATGGCCATTGATCAGTACTGTCCTCTGCTGCCTATCAATGATCACAATGTCCAGTAGGTTGGACACAACCATTTTACTGTTTGTATTTAGAAGTCCCACAGGATCTTAGCTCTGTCATCCTCCACCATATATATAAATATATATATATATATATATATAGGTAGTTACAAATTCCAACTAGGTCATGTGTCAAAGCGTCCTTGCTCTGGCCAAAGATACAGACTGTTGTCCTCATCCAATGCTTAAAAGAAGGTGCATGTAAATAATATAGATAAGGCATATTAAAGATGTGGAAACACTATGCAACAAAAGAATGCTGCATTATAAATGTGTGTGGAATGAGGCAAAAGGTTTAATATGTGAGAGGCATCTGTAGAATGTTTGAGAGGACATTTAAACCAGAATGACATTGACTATGCTATCACATCATCACCTGGGAACATTGATGCTACAATTTCTGTTGCTAAGTTTTTGTGTTGCTGAAGTCTACAGTTTTAAATGATGTAGTGAAAACCTGCATCAAGATGAAATATAAAATGCCAAAAAAAAATGTTTCCTTTTCATCAACACAAACCAGTGCAATTGACTTACTAGAAAACACATCTCTCTACATTCTGTTTTTGACACATGGATGTATTTATTTGTTGTGTATCCACCATGCAACTCACATTTCAAGGAAATGAGGGAAAGAGAGAAATAGATCCACCCAGACACAGAGAATAAATCTCTTGACCTTGTGCCTGGCTCTTTAGCTCTGTGTGAAGGGCTGTAGCCTATAGCCTTAAATATCTCAGTACTGCTTGGCTGTCTGGAAAGTGCTGAGCTTGAAGGAAGAATAGGGGCCAGGCCACAGCGTTCAGCCTCCCCCAACAATTAACTCAGCAGCAGGAAATCATTGCCATACTCAGTGGTAAGTCTGCTTCGTTGTGTTTGTGTGCATACATTTGTTAAGGCACCTTGTTTTCCTCCAAGTGTTTGTTTTCTAATATATGAGCAATAATTCCTATTGGGACGATTAGTTCCTTCTTACCAGTTACTGTAAGTTCCGTTGTCCTTCTGATAACAAAGCCACCAAACTGGATTTCGCAGGTGTAATTCCCAATGTCGTCCTCCGTTACTTCTTGAAATGACAAAATGTCTCTCTTCTGGATAATGCTGGTCCGCCACTGTTTTGGACGGCACTCCTGCATTATAGAGGACAGCTGGGTCAGAGTGTCTGATATTATCTTAAACATCACTTGGGAGCTGGAAATAGACAGATAAAAAAAGTACTTTGACATGGCAAAACAATTTTACAATCAGTTTACACTTTAGACTTATACAGTGTTTTAAATACTCAAAAAGTATCGATACCAAACTGCACTTTAATGTAATTCTTTTCACATTACAGCTACAAATTTTAATTCATGTTGCTAATATTCCATGGCATACATTAACACAACATAAGGTATAATTTTGAAGATAAATTATCTATGGTCTTCTAAAATCATTAGGGTTAAAGATCTGTAAAATGTGACATGCATTGTTAATTTGGCCTGAATCAACACTTGCTAGGGCCAGTTTTCACTGTAATCAAAGCTGAACCTGTTTGCAAAGTAAGACGCGTATTTAGATTGGAAAAAAAACAAACAAAATGCAATTTATAAGTCTGGTCCAAGATTCTCAATTTGATATCAAGCTAATTCAGTTCAATTCAGTTTATTCATTTAGCACCAATTCATGAAACATAATTTCATACAGATAGACAGATGGTTTAGACCTTTTCCGTAAAAATTCAAGAAATATCCACTGGACTTGGTTTCCAAGATTTGAAGACGTTTCATATTCTGATCCACATAGAGTAACTTTTTGCATGTAGACCAAAACGTTCATTTATTATCTCATTTAAATAGAGTAGTTTATTTTACATGTGTCACATGTCCTCTATATGGGCATGGGTTTATTATGGTTTGATTGTCAATCTTATATTAACTTAAGATTTCCGGATTGCATGGCAATCCAATTAGTTGGATCTGCCAACAGATTATCATAGCTCAACAGTAGATATAAGCCGCCGCTCAGAGTAATCACCTGCTTCTTGGCACAGTTTAATGACATCCAATAAACAGCTGTACTCATACAAGAACTTGCTATCTTCTATTCATTCGAGATTGAATTGTAAGGGCAGCAGACAGCCCAGACTTCCGTATCATCGGACAAACCTCTTAACTCCAAGAAACCAAGAAACATAGCCAATCCACAGTGTCCAAGGCTTGTCTTGGGCAACCTACTGTGGAATATTTCCTAAGGGAGGTGTCTAGTGGGCATCCAGATCAGATGTCCAGTCCACCTTAACCATTTAACTACCTTGTCAACCTCCAACCTGCATTTCAGTGAAGAAATGGTAAATCACTTGGTAAACCAGGCAGTTAAAGGGTTAACTTCATGTCGAGCAAAACTATACTTATCTTTAACGGAGGGCATGGACACCCGTGGAGGAAGCTAATTTAAACTCTATGTTTGGGAACTCATTCTTTTGGTCATGACTCAGATTTTATGACCATAGTTGAGGGTAGAAACGCAAACTAATCAGAAAATAGCGTGTTTTGCCTTTTGGAAAAGCTCACTCTTCGCGACAACGAACCACTGTAGCATCTGCATTACTACAGTGGTTGCACCAATCTGTCTGTCAATCTCCGGTTTTATTTTGCCTTCACTCATGACGCAGTATGTGCAACTCCCCCCTGACCAGAAGTCAAAAACCCAATATTTTCAATTAAGAGCAATGGATTAAGACTTGGAGAAGCTGATTGTCATCCCTACGTCTTTTAATTTAGGAGCTCAGCCCCCCCAATGCATGCTGTATATCTTGACCAGAGGGAGCCAGCAGAACCAAACCATCCACATACAGCAGGGATGAATTCCAATGGTCCTCCATGCAGAGGGACAACATTTATGAGAGGACTTGTGACAGAGGGCAGCCAAGAACAGGTCCGTTTTAACATTTCCAATGAGACTCATACTCTAGCTTGACTTGAAAACAAAATGGATAGCCCCTAGAAAAGTTTTCTTGACTTCTTACTCTTGAGGCTTACTATGAATGATAATGTAAATTTAACATTTTTGGTTTAAAGGGGACAAAACTTAAAAAGGTTGAAATAGTGTAAATATATTGCATCCATAAAGTAAAGTTTCATCTATATATACTTGCTCATTATTCAAGCTGGAAACCAAAACATTTAAAATAGCATGCTTGTCTAAGCCACAGGATAAAGTGCTTGGAATGTATGGATTGACATTGACAAAATAATTCTATATTGTAAAATGATAGGGCTTTGCCATCATCCTTCTTATCTCATTATGATTTATTGCACTGAACTGAATATTCTCCTTTCAATATTCTACTAAAGCCACAGAGGAAGGAGAATTTTATTTACAGAAGTCTCTTCTGGCACAATAAGTGTGTTTGTTCTGATTCGGTGCAAATACGCCAGTATCCGTGTGCAAGCACAATGAGTAACTATATGATACAATCCACTCTCTGGCTCTTTGACACTCAAGCAGGGACAACAACTGCTCGGCGTATTCTATTCTATTCTTGCTCCCGGCAACTTCTGAATTCAATCACAGAGGCTCCACCGAGGTCCAAATAACTCTGGGTCCCAGCACTCCCAGTCATTACCCAGATTGTAATTGAATTTTAGAGAGAACTTGAGGTCAAGCCTAGCCAGTTAATCTACTGCTGATCTGCCTGTGATTAGTTTGGCCTCAACCCCTTGGTTGGGATGCACTTTGTTGTCCGCAGGCCGTGCCTGACCTGGGAAAAACAAGGACCCAGGAGAGGGGGTGTCTCTGGGTGAAGGAGCATTTGTAGGGCATCCACTCTTTCCACAGGGCACAAACTGACATTGAATAAATGTATTCTCACCAAAGTTTTGTGCTCATTATTAAATTCATTGCTGCAGCTGTCCTCTGCACAGTGCTCTTTTCCCTCATCTTTGAGAGCAGTGAGAACCAATGCAAATATAGCTTAAGTAATTGCCTCCATACATACTGTAATCTGACTAAGTGATTTGGAACTGCATTCCCAACAACGTTTTTAAATCCAAACAGCCAAGAAATTAGATGAAAACAAACCAATGAAGCATCAAATAATATTTCCCAGTTGTATAATCACAAAAGTAGATACCTTCTTATGCCTGTTTCAAAAAGGCAGCACTATCTATAAAAATGTCAGCATCTAACAAAAAGGCAGGATATATTTAACCTTAGTGATTAAATATATAATTAACACATTTTATTCCCAAAGAAAGCTCACCTTGTACCACGTGATTCCAGGCTCCTTCCCAGGTTCAACGTAGTCATCTATATCAGGACAGAGGATGTCTTTGCTCTTACTAAGCTCAGCCTTCTCGGGTCTTCTCATTTTGGAGTTGTAGCAAAGATCAGTGTCATTCTCAGCCACAGTCAAAGACATAGAGACCTTCATGCAGTATGTAGAATTCCTGTTGGTATAGGAAAATACTCAGTTAGGATTAAACATGAATGATAGTCAGAGACTATTTCTTATTGTATACATGCAAGTAAGAAGAATTACAGTGTCAGAGACACTTCTTAATGTTAGCCTAAACATTGAAAATAATTATTTGTGTAATTGAATAATCTTAAACTGAAATTTTTTTTTCTTTACATTTTTTACATAAAAAATAAATAATTGTTTTTGATACAACCATTGGTGGCACCAATACCTCTTCTTCAAATCTTTCATAATTTTAATCTTATTCAGATTTTACCTTTTCAAATGCTCCTGGGTGTCAGGAATTTTTAATTAGCAATCAATTTCTGTCTTTCTGTGACAGAAAAATGTGTGTTGCTCCCAACCAGGTAAGCCTAAATGTGATTCATTTATCCTGCTATTTATTTATTCTGTTCAGGAAATAGACTAATCAGGTCCTCATGAGAACCATTTGGAACTATCTTCATACCAACTGGTTATTTTTGGAGTAATCACCAAGATAAGTTTTTTTTTTGTATTTGTTTGTTCATTAAAAATGTAAACATTTGCTGATAGTTTAATTGTCCTCATGGGACTTGATATGGAACCATACCAAATTGGAACTTTTGTGCAACAATCAAAGTGGGTTTGGTATAAATGATAGATAGCATCTAGAATTCCTGGAAATTTCTGCTCTTTAACTTATGTCTGGCTTATTCTCAAAGGTTTTTTTATACATTAAAGGTATAGAGGATGATGTTTTATTTCCGGGTGGATCATCTAAATACATGGTCCTCCTAATTGTCAATCATTCTTGTGATATGTTTACGTAAGGCCGTCCTACGTGCTCATCCCGCACTTTCAGGCTTATATATGTGGTAAGCTACAGTTTCAGACACTCATTAAAGTTTACATTTCTTATCGCGGTTGATTGAAAATGGCAGAGGGTCGTAAGAGAAAAAGCCTCTATGAAGTGTTTGAGAAGACAAGAAAGGGCTCAGAAGCAAAGCAACTTTTAAACTTTTAAACAGACATGCACAAGTAGAAATGGGCTTGTGCATGCTCCCGCACGCGCATTTTTTTAGAGTGGAGAGGACAGGTCATTTTTAAAAAAAATTGTGAAAATCCTCCACAATACCTTTAATTGGCTTTTTTAAATACTTTTTCAAAGTACACAGACATTAAATGGGATTGAAGGAGAGGTGGGAAAACATGTTGCATAGATCAATGTGCCAGGACTCAAAACTATTTGGTCATTAAAGTATTGGAATTCTCAAAAATCCCTTCTCTTCAGGATCCTACCCTGTTAAATGTTAAAGTAGATGACTACTTACCAACAATGTTAACATTTTTGTTATGAGATAATGTTGAAACATACAATTATTTAAACAGGGAACACATCTACTAAAGTCAAGCACATGCTTTGGCCGTTGTCAGTGTTAGATTACAGTATACTACTTCACTAAAGATGAAAGGTGTTAACATTAGCCCAACTTGCTTTCATCAAGCAAATCTATATTTACATAAATGTGCATACACACAAGTACGATACTCACTTGTACCCTCACAGGAAAAAAAAAAAAAAGGTGTTATGAAATGTTTTGTTTTTCCTAAATATAGTTAAACATGAATTTAAAGACAAAGTCAGTAGGACTTTTTGCGCACTTTATCTGGGGTCCTATTAAATGTGTCTAGTGTTTCATCCAATTCCATGTTGCCACATCTCCAATGCTACTGTTAGATGAAATACAGCATGAGAAAAACACTAAATTTGTAGTTTTTTTTTTTTACCAGTTGTGATGCTTCCCATTTTTTCTCTCTCTCTATGCTATTGTGTGATTGTGAGGTTAGAGATAATGACGCATTTAGCAGCCTTGCCGAGTGAATGGCAAATACTCACGTATACTGTCGAATTTATGGATGGAGTCAGGGTATGCTAATAAGAGGAGAGAAAAATGCCGAAGCTGCCTCACATGGAAGAGAAAGCTGCTTGGTCAACACAATGAGTCAGTCCTCCGCGCTTGTCATCCCCTTTTTGTTTCCCAGCAACCATCAACACTCCATCCAGTTATCTAGCTTTGCTATCTAAGAAAGAATAACGACTCTCCCTCGTTGCTGTTAATGTCATTGGTGTGTGTTGCCAGTGACACAGTGCGATTCCACAGCTCCCACTTTCCCAGTAGTGAGTTTGACAAGGCCTACCCTGCACAATTTAAACCTCAAGGCTGAAGGCATACATACAGCTTTGCTGCTGTAATAGCTTCTGCTTTCCTAGGAAACCTATCCACATGATTTTTAGGCATTAATTCATGCACAGTGTTCTGTTCAGCTCAAGCAGTGATAACACAGAGTTATGGTTTTTATTGTAGATCACATTTTATTATGGCCATTGCTAATATGAGTAATATATATATTTGGTTTCATTTCAGTATTAAAAGAGAGTTAATCACAGAAAGCACTGAAAATTGCATTGGGCTTTAAAAAAATGAACTCGACTCACTTGCTAAAAGGGTCTTTGTTTTGTTTTTGTTATACATAGGCAATGTAACATAGTTCTGATTCAGATTTGTAAATGTGGAAAAAAGCAAGTTTTTACTAGACCGAATGAAATCTCTTCAAAAGTAAGTAATGGCGTACTCCCTGATCATTGTCCTTTTGTTGGTTTGTTATAGGACTCCTTTTTGCAATGGATTATACCACTTTTTAGGAAGCATTTTCACACCTTTGCAATATCTTATGCTTATGTCAGTATTCCCCACAGACACAAATTCCTAACAGGGACACAGGACATGTTTTTTTTTTTCCTGAATAGTGATGGTTGGAAAATCCCATACTGTTTATACTAAACCATGCATAACTTTTTGAAAGAATAAAAGTTTCACCGTTAGGTATCAGGAAACTATGGAAAATAGTCCAAAGGTCTCCTAAAATCTATTCTGAATCATTTTGCAGATTGTTTGAGGTGTTCCCTCAAATTAACAAACATTATCAGTTATCAGAAACTAAAAATAGTCATGATATAGTCCAGTGGGCTTTTCAGAATTAGTTTGTTCGTCTCCCACTTCATTCAGGACTGGGTTGAGTGACAGGAATCTCAGTAGAGACTCCCAGACTTCCCTCTCCATTCTTCTCTGACTCATGTACAGGACCCTAAGATACTTAAGCTCCTCCACTTGGGGCAGGAATTATCCTCTAACCTGAAGGAGACAAGCCACCTTTTTCTCGTCCAGAACCATTGCCTCTGAGGATCTTATTCTTATCTTGGCTGCTTCATACCGCAAACCACCCCAGTGTATGCTGTAGATCTTAGCAGGAGGGAGCCAGCAGAACCACATCATCTTCAAAAAGCAGAGACAAGATATTCTGCCCCCCAAACCAGCCCCCTTCCAGTCCTTGGTTGCACCTAGAAATTCTGTCCAAGAATGTTATGCGCAGGACCACCATGCACCAGGAACATGATTGACTTTATGCCGGCAATGCGGACCAGGCTCCTGCTCTGCTTGTACAGAGACCATCCAGTCTCTGTTCTATAGAAAAGGGCTTCCTACTCTGTAGCCCTGAAGTGCCCCCCAAATAATCCATAATGCAAATTGAAGGGGTAGATAAATCATTATTATTTTTTTTAAATCACTGTATATTTTTTTCAAAAACAACCAAAATCAGACTTTCGTATAAGTCAGAAAATAATAATCCAAAATGACATAATACACTAAAGTCTAATGTAATAAATGTAAAGATGGGGAAAAGGAATTTTTTTTTTATTGCATTGGTTTTTATCTTTATTATGAGCCCCTGTGCTTGACTCTGCCTTTTAAAGTTAGAAGGTAAATAACACATAAAATGAAAATATAGAGGGGAGCATGGTCATGGGTAAGATAAGTGATATGGGAGGGAGCCTGGTTATAGACATCAGAGTCCTGGATGTTCTGGAGCATATCTTTGTATCTTTGATTTTCTTCTAAAAAGATGCCCCTCTTCTAATTGAGTCTATACAGTAAGTAATGAAATCAGGGATCTGAGTGTTAGTAGCAGTAGCTTGATCCATACTATGAAGAATAGACCAACCGAAGCAGAGCCCATACTCTTCATCTGCCGCCTGCCCCACCCAGCAGCCGTCTGACTCGGTCAGTCTCTTGGATGAAGGACTGTAAGAACAGCCATGCAGGCCTTTGCCTCGTTTCATTAGATTACATTTAAACTGACCAGATGCTCCCATTCACTGTAAATGACATGGTTTCATATGATATACTCAGGTTATGGAAGCAATAAGGGAGTCATCTCTCCCATATAAACACCTCTGACCCCCCAGGGCCATAAAATACAGTAGCACACACACAGATTCACTCAAACACACACACTTAAAAGACAAATGTATCTGTGAGAGATTGGTTTGAGATAGCAGTGAGGGGGAACAGAGGGAGAATAGCTACTTGAATGAGGAGTACAGATACTGTGTACCTCCACACAGGAGATGACTAAAAGGGCATCCGGAAAATGTAGGAAGAAAAGTATGATGGAAGATATTGCAAAAGAGCACTGCCCTCTCAGTGTTGAATTTGAACATTATTGACTCAACACTTTCTATCTAGGGAGAAGAGAGTGGGAAGTTGTGATGTAGGCTTACAGAGTACTCTTGGACGATATATATCTTACCAGAGAACAAATAGCACTATGTAAATACACATTGATGTAATGGAAACGTTAACACATACGTCAAAATGACCCAAAAAACAAGTAAATGACTTTAGGGGATGGGTCACTATAAGCTCCCACACAAGTAGCACTTAAGTAGTGTTTTAACAAGGTGTGACGAACAATCAAATACATTTTTTTTTTTTTTTTATCAGCTTTGAGATCAATTCAGTATACTATTTAGAAAAACATTAAAAACATTAACTATATTTTCCCTGAAAGCCCATTGATTCAAAGCCCCCGGATTAGCATTACCAAGGTAATACAAATCCCAGGTAATTCACCTGCATGCCATTGCTTTACTCTGGAAGCCACGCA